TATATGTGTGTGTACATCTATGTTATCCATTCATCTATGGGTGGACACTCGGGCTGCTTCCATATCTTGGTTATTGTAGATAATGCTGACTTGGGTCAGAGAGAAGAGGCCTCAGAGAGAAACTCAGGAGGAAGAGGGAGGAAGGCGTCCACGGCACCCACTTGTTGGCCTGACTCAAGACCTGTCCACATCAAGACAAGAAAGAGACCTCCACCAAAAACACCGATTTTTACCCATTTTTGTTCATTGTGTATGATGTTTGCTGTCTTCTCTCTCTGGTATTATTTTTGTGTTCTCATGTACTTTTTCTAGTGGTTTCCCAACTTTAAAATATTTCAGGTCCAGGAGAGTCAACATACAGTGTTTTCTGTATAGGTACAGTATAGTGATTCAACACTTCCCACACCAGCCGGTGCCCTTCACGACAAGCATTTTAGTAAGCGTGCTGCCGTAACAAGTACCAGTTTTGTATTTTTAGATAATCTTTGCAGAAAGAATGACATGTTTACCATTGATCTAACTAGTCTAACCAAATCAGGTGCTATGACAGGATCTGCATTACTGTCTGCCTGGTTTTACCTGCAATTTGGGGTAACCGATGACTTTTTCTGCTGCATTTTTAATTTTTATTTATATTTATTTATTTTAGAGGGAGAGAAAGCATGAGTGGGGAGAATGGCAGAAGGACACACAGAGAGAATCTCAGGCAGGCTCCATGCTCGGCGCAGAACCCAACACGGTGCTGAATCCCACGACCCTGGGATCAAGACCTGAGCCGAGATCAAGAGCTGGACGCTCAACTGGCTGAGCCACCAGATGCCCCGACTCAGGCTCCTTTACTTTAAACAGTGCTGCCCTTCCTTGCTTCCCGCCCATGCATCTTCTACCAAAGACCAGACAACGACCCAGTTACCCTCTCCTCTAGATACCACCCAGGCCGCCCTCGTCTGTAGCAACACAGCTTTTCTCTGCCTTCACGTGTAGGACGACACTCCTCTGCAGGGCTTCCTGCTTGGTTCAGTTCTTTCAAATTTGCTCTCTTCGGGAGACGAGACCCTAACTTCTACTTTCCAAAATTTACTTCACAGCCTTCAGGGCCCAGGAGAGGAATCTGTACATACAGGTATTTACTGTACATTGTTCAACTTTTTGGTTTGCTTGTCTTTGGTTGGCTGAGTTACGGTGCGGTCAGAAAACCTGCTTCCACGCCTGAGTCCTGACACAAATTAGCTCATCACCGCAAACATCTTAATATGCTCCAGTTCCGTAAAATGAAGATGATATATGTATTTTTAAGTTTATTTGTTTATTTTTTGAGAGATAGAACACAAGTGGAGAGGGGCAGAGAGAAGAAGAGAGTAAGAATCCCAAGCAGGCTCCGTGCTGTCAGCACAGAGCCTAACGTGGGGCTTGAGCTCACAAACCACGGGATCATGACCTGAGCCGAAGTTCGATGCTTAATGGACTAAGCCACTTGGGTGCCCCTAAAATGAACATGATATTAAGTCCCTTACATGTGAGTAATAAATTGCCACGTATGTGACAATGCTGTGTGAGTGAGGTTCCCTCTACGTGTTATTACTGATGGTAGCAAGGCCTGAATGACTTTGTTTGTAGCTCTAGGATGACATATAACCACTCGCTCCTCTACAAAAGATGCCAGATCTTGACGCCTCGGGGAGCACACCAGACACACGGGTACCAATTAGCGAGGGAGGCCTGGGAGGGTGCCGTGCAGGGAGAACCTGGCCCCAGCGGGAGGGAGGGCAAGCCACACCTGCCGTGAAGGAGCGCCCACGGGAGCCTCTCTAGACTGCACTAGACAGGAAGTTATTCCCAGCACACAAAACCCAGCTGGGAGATGTTTTTAAAAGTGTTGCCACAGGCAGTATATTTTTGATCATATTGTTTTACTGTGACCTAGATAGAGCAACACCTAACACAGAAAACTGAGAAATGGTATTACAGCCCTACAGATTCTACTCTCAGCACAAATTGGTATGAATTTTGATCTATTCTATTCATTTATAATTTATAGCCTGCCTACTTCCAAAAATGACTGTAGATGGCTTAGAACACAAGCCATGTATATACATATGTATACGTATACATATGTATATATACATATATACAAATGTATATATATGGCTGTTCAAACAAATTTTTTTAAAAAGTTCAATTCATTCAAGAAGCCAACTGTTTTTCCCAAAATGTGTACCTTTAACAACTACTCGTTCTTGTTTGTTTTTACTCAATAACAAACTTTTAAAATGGGTTCAATATTCTCTTATAGATATTTTTTAAAGTACCATAGAAATAAAGAGTTTAAATATTGATTATACTTCTAAAAGTATTGAAATGTTAAGACTGATTCATAATCCTTTTTCCATATAAAATTTTTAAAAAGCTCCTGTTAAAAAATTTCAAATCATTAAAAAAAAAATCAAATCATTTGTACCTCAAAAAGATTCAGGATGCCTGGTTCAGTTGGTCAAGGGTCCAACCCTTGATTTCAGCTCAGGTCATGATCTGATGGTTCATGGGATCGAGCCCCACGTCGAGCTCTGTGCTGACAATGTGGAGCCTGTGTGGGATTGTCTCTCTCTCTCTCTTTCTCTCTCTTCTGCCCCTCACCCACTCACTCTCTGTTTCCCTGTTTCTCTCTCTCTCTCTCTCAAAATAAATAAATAAACA